TGAAGTGTATGAATCTTACAGAGCCATACTTAGTTTTCCCATCTTACCTTTTGTGCTATTTTCATTATATTTTTAAATTCTACATATGCTTTAAACACAAAGTAATTGTTATTTTTAACAGTCAGTTATATTTTATAATTTAGTTAATTATATGCTATTTTAGTATAATACATATTTTCTATTTTTATAATTTACCATTTATGGTTATCTTCCATCTTTCTATTGACTCGAATTCCCATCTGTATCATTTTCCTTCTTCCTTGAGAATTTCCTTTAATGAAGGTCTGGTACTTTTGGATTTCCTTAGCTCCCTTTGTCTGAAAAAATGTCTTTATTTCACTTCATTACATCTTGTTATTGAGATATAATTTAAATTTTAAATTCACATTTAAAAAAGCATAATTTAGTGACTTTTAGTATATTCACTATTTTACACAACCATTCCTGCTATTTAATTCCAGAACATTTCCATTTACCTCAAATGAAACTTGATACTTATAATCTGTCAATCTTCACTACCTCACCTCACCCCTCCATCAATACCCTTGTAATGAATAATCTATTATTTGTCTTTATTAGTTTCCTAATTCAGGACATTTCATACAAATGAGTTTATACACTACATGGCCTTCTTCATCTGGTTTGTTTCCCTTAGCATAATGTTTTCAAGGATCATCTGGGTGGTAGCATAATCAGTACTTCATTACTTTATATGGCTGTATAAGGATATTTCATTGTATGAATATACTATTAATACTACATTTTATTTATCACTTCACCAGTAGGAAGACATTTGGACTGTTTCTACTCTGTGACTATTATAAATAATGTTGCTAAGGACATTTGTGTACAAAATGTTGTTAGAACAATTGTTTAAAATTGTTGAATTTTAATTGTTTTGAATGCATACCTAGGAATGGAATTGCTGGGTCATTTGGTAATTTCTTAATTTTTGGAGGAACCTCCAAAGTGTTTACCACAGTGGTTGCATCATTTTCCATTCCTTCTAGCAATGAATGTGGTTTCCAATTTCTCTACATCCCTTTCAACTCTTCTTATTTTACATTGTCTTGATTATAGCCATCCTAGTGATTTTTTTTTTTTTTTGCAACTACATTCTCACATCCTAGTGATTTTGAAGTGATGTCTCATTGTGGCTTTGCTTTGCACTTCTCTAATTGTTAATGATTTTTTTCATCTTTTCATATGCATATTGGCAATGTGTATATATCCTTTAGGATAATGTATTTTTAAATAGTTTTCCCATTTTAAAATTTGTCTTACTATTGTAGTTGGCCATAGATCTGTAGATTTTATTTTTGGACTCTCAATTCTGTTCCATTGGTCTAAATATCTACTATCATGCCAATACCACACTGTTTTGATTATTGCAGCTTTGTAGTAAGCTTTGAAATCAAGAAGCATGAATCCACTTTTCACACTATGCAAGCACATTATGTTCAAGAAAGACTCAAAGGAGTTCAATATAAATTTCTCAAACTCTTTTTTCTGCATAGTTACAACTTTGGCCATTGGGAACTCTTTTAGTTGGTGCTTTGTCCCTTTAACATAGGCTATTAACTATGATTTTTTTTTTTTAGCACTTTGTTACTTTCTGGACTTACATGTTCCAGGTTCATCTTGTATACTTCCTGCCCTGGTGCTAGAATAAGCTATTTTTTCCAAGGACACTTTTATTAGTGGATGGTGTTAGAAGCCAAAATCTGGGTTCTGTGTGTTGTTGCTTTTGGTGTGTTTTTGCTTATAGGGACTAAGCAGACTGAACAAGGAAATCTACATATTGATACTTACCTGTTTATATAAACCTTTTTATAATTATTTCTACATGTGTCCATCTATGTCTATATATTAAGTTAAATCTGAATTTATACTGATGTCTCTGGTTCTAATGAAGTACTGTATCATATTTCTTTTAAACTTTACTTCCCAACTGTTCCTTGCTTATAAATAGGAATACATTTGATTATTGTAAACACAATTATTTAGGAAACTTGATTACTTTATACATTATTTTTACTATTTTTGAAATATATCCCTTTATATTTCTATATACATTATTATGTTGTCTATGAATAAGGAAAGTATCAATTCTCCAATATTTATTTCTTTTTAATTCTTCTTTGTGCTAGAGTAGACCACCAGTACATTATTGAATAAAAGTGGTGAGAGCTGAAACTCTTGATATTTTTCTTTAACTCTAAGAAGGCAAGCTTTCAATATTTGATCACTGAATATGCTTTTAACTAATGGTTTAATTATTGGGATGAGGTAGTTCCCATATAAGACTTGTCTATTGGGAATTATTTTTTAAAATCATAAATTGATGTTGAGTTTTTTTAACTGCATAAGTATCTCTTGATAAGATCATATAGTTTTTCTTGTTTATTATATTTTTAGTGAATTATGGATTTTCCAATGTTAAACCAAGTTGCATTTCTGAAGTAAATACCATTTACGATTTGTTATCCTTTTTACATAATTCTGGATTCTGTTTTTAATATTTTGTTAATGATTTTTGCTTCTGAGTTAATGGGGATAGAGACTTCTAATTAACTTGTAACATCATTGTCAGGTGTTGTGTTATGATTTTACAGGCCTCATGACAAGAATTGGCAAGCGTCCCTTCCTCTTCCGTTTTCTGAAGGAGTTTGTGTAGCTTGTAGTATCTTAGAAGCATTTTGTTCATTTCATCTAAACTGTCAAATTTATTTATACAGTTGTTCCTATTACCTTTTCAATGTCTAGTCTATTTTCTCTCTTATTCCTCATATTGGTCATTTGTGCTTTCTCTTTATTGTTTGATACATTTTTCTAGATTATCCATTTCATTAATTTGTTCCAAGAACCATCTTAATGCCTTACAAGTTTTCATTATTGTCTTTTTTCCTTTTCTATTTATTGGTTTCCAATTTTAATCTACTTTATTTCTTCTACATATTTTTATTCAATATTCTTTTATCTTTCTCTCTTCTTTATGTGGAAGCACAGATTACTTATTTTATCCTTTTCTCTTTGCTCTGATGCAAGCACTTAAAAGTATTTTAATTTCCACAGGTTCATTGAGTAGCTACACTGCACATTTTCACATTTCCTTGAGTTTGGAATGTTTCTAATTGCTTTTGCTATTTTTTTCTTTGAAAAGCAGTTATTTTGAAGTGTGTCCCTTAATATTTTAGCATTTGAACATTTTCCAGACATCTGATATAGTGTATTTCTTCTTTAATTCTGTATAGTTCATGGATGTAATATGGATAATTTTAGGTTTTTGATATTATGGGTAATGTTTAATAGCCCAGCTTATGGCTATCTCAGTAAATATTTAATGTGCATTTAAAAAGAATGTATATTTGGCAGTTGTTGGCTGCCAGCTATTTATAAATACCAAATAGGTAATGTTGGTTAATGTATCATTCAACATTTTGTTATCCTTATTGAATTTTTGGTTGATTATTCTATAAATAATTAAGAAAGGACTTTTAAAAATCTATGATTGTGGATTTGTCATTTTGTTCATTGTGTTTTGTCATATTCTTCATGTAGTTTAGAGTTCTGTAGTTGCAGACAAACTCAGTACAGTAGTTCCCCTTAACCCCAGGGGGTGCATTCCAAGACCCTCAAGAAATGACTGAAACCATGATTCCCATCAAGGAGAATACATTTCTGTTCGTGTCTTCTACCCACAAATTGAATGCCTTTTCCTTCTTAACTAAGCACTTATCTTGCACTGTGGCCATAAATTTTACAGTTTGTGGTGCCACAGCAAAGCTAGCATAAATTTCTTTTTCTCTCTTTATAATTTCACGGATAGAAGATTTGTTCTTACCATAGGTCTTAGCAACCTCAGCATATGATTTTTTTCTTACCTTATTAAGACTAGAACTTTCACCATTTCACTTAAAGGATGCATTATATGGCTTCTCCTTGGAATACTGGAATTGCCAGCATCACTGTTCATGAGCTTTGGGGCCATTATTAAGTGAAATAAAGATTACTAAACACAAGCACTGAGATACCATAACAGTCGATCTGATAACCGAAATGGCTACTAAGAGACTGACAGACAGGTAGCATAGACAGCATGGAGATGTTGGACAAAGGGATGATTCACATCCTAGGTGGGACAGTGCAAGATTTCATCCTACTACTCAGAATGACACAATTTAAAACTTACGGGATGTTTATTTCTGTTTATTTTCTCAAGTAATATTTTCAGATCTTATTTGTGCATAACTGAAACTTGGGAAAGGAAATCATGGATAAGGGGAGACTACTGTAGTCAAATCCAAACCCTGATACTGTAATGGTGGTATGAAAATCACTTATATCTCTAGTATAAAGGTTAAAAGACAAAACGGTTAAAAATAACTATAGTTACAATAATTTCTTTTTCCTTTTTTTTTGAGACAGAGTTTCACTTTGTGCCCAGACTACTAGAGTGAGTGCCATGGCATCAGCCTAGCTCACAGCAACCTCAAACTCCTGGGCTCAAGCAATCCTACTGCCTCAGCCTCCCGAGTAGCTGGGACTACGGGCATGAGCCACCATGCCTGGCTAATTTTTTTCTATATATTTTTAGTTGGCCAATTAATTTCTTTCTATTTTTAGTAGAGGCGGGGTCTCGCTCAGGCTGGTTTCGAACTCCTCACCTCGAGTGATCCTCCCACTTCGGCCTCCCAGAGTGCTAGGATTACAGGCGTGAGCCACTACACCTCCCCAGTTACAATAATTTCTTAAGGGACATACAAGTTAAAAAGGTACAAACTGTAACATTAAAAACTAGAGGCAGGAGTAACAGTGTAGAGTTTCTATATGTGGTCAAAGTTAAGTCGCTATGAGCTTAAAATAACCTGTTATAAGTATAAGATGTTTTATGTAAGCCTCATGGTAGGCAAAAACTTCTAGTAGAAGAAAAAAGAGATCCACCTAGAAGCAGCTTCTTGCTGCTTCTCTCTCCTTCTCGAATCTCTGTCTAGTTTGGCCTGCCTGCTTCTACTCCAGCCTCCATCATGTCCATCAGGGTGACCCAGAAGGTCCTACAAGATGTCTCCCTATGGCCCCTGGGCCTTCAGCAGCTGCTCATATACCAGCGGGCCCAGTGCCCACATCAGCTCCTCCAGCTTCTCCTGGGTGGGCAGCAGCAGCGGCTTCCAAAGTGGCCTCGGCATGTGTCTGGGTGGGGGTTATGCGGGGGCCAGTGGTATGGGAGGCATCACAGCCGTCAGGGTGAACCAAAACCTGCTGAGCTTCCTCATTCTGGAGGTGGATCCCAACATCCAGGCCATGTGCAACCAGGAGGAGGAGATCAAAACCCTCAACGACAAGTTTGCCTCCTTCATCAACAAGGTGCGGTTCCTGGAGCAGCAGAACAAGATGCTGGAGACCAAGTGGAGCCTCCTGCAGCAGCAGAAGACGGTTCGGAGCAATACAGACGGGCGGCATGTTTGACAACTACATCAGCAACCTTCTGCGACAGCTGGACACACTGGGCCAGGAGAAGCTGAAGCTGGAGGCGGAGCTTGGCAATATGCAGGGGCTGGTGGAGAACTTCAAGAATAAGTATGAGGATGAGATCAACAAGCGTACAGAGATGGAGAATGAATTTGTCCTCATCAAGAAGGATGTGGATGAAGCTTACATGAACAAGGTAGAGCTGGAGTCTCGCCTGGAAGGCCTTACTGATGAGATCAACTTCCTCAGGCAACTGCATGAAGAGGAGATCTGTGAGTTGCAGTCCCAGATGTCAGATACATCTGTGGTCCTGTCCATGGACAATAGCCACTCCCTGAACACAGATAGCATCATCGTTGAGGTCTGTGCCCAGTACGAGATCACCAACCACAGCCAGGCTGAGGCTGAGAGGATGTACCAGACCAAGTATTAGGAGCTGGAGGTTCTGGCTGGGAAGCATGGGGATGACCTATGTCACACGAAGACAGAGACATGCTGGATCATCATCTGGCTCCATGCCGAGATGGAAGGTCTTACCCACTTCGGTACCAGCGTTGAGTATAGTTGACAGCCACAAATGAACGTGCACAGCTGAGCTTCCACTATAGTCAACAGCCACAGATGAATGTGCACAGCGACTTTAGCCGACAGCCGTGATATGAAGGCACAAAGCCAAGCATCGACTTTAGCCAACAGCCGTGATATGACTTTTCTAATTTTTCATATATCAAAATAAAAGTGTGAACATTTAAAAATAACGTAATGAAAACATACTATTCTGATTTACATTACAAGTAAAGCTGCCTGTAAAGTAAAACAAGCTTTCAGTGCTTTAAAGCTTTCCTCATCACACAAGAGCAAAACGGATTCATCGTCAATGCTCAGCACAGACTATTGTGCGGACTATGAGTGCCGGCTGTGGGCAGGGTTTCACGGCTGGTGAGTGCAGTCCCGAAGTGAAGGCCAAGAGGGCTTCCCTGGAGACAGTTATTGCGGATGCTGAGCAGTGCGGGAACCTGGCCATTACGGGTGCCATGGCCAAGGTGGACGAGCTGAATGCCGCCCTGCAGCGAGCCAAGCAGGGCATGGCATGGCAGCTGCGCAAGTACCAGGAGCTGATGAATGTCAAGCTGGCCCTGGACTTCGAGATCACCACCTACCACAAGCTGCTGGGGGGCGAGGAGAGCCAGCTGGAGTCTGGGATGCAGAGCATGAGCATCCACACAAAGACCACCAGTGGCTACTCAGGTGGGCTGAGCTCGGCCTATAGGGGCCTCATAAGCCCTGGCCTCAGCTGTGGCCTGAGCTTTTTCCAGCCCTGCTTTGGCTCTGGTGGGAGCTCTGGCTCCTTCAGCTGCATCAGCTCCTCCAGGGCTGTGGTAGTGAAGAAGATCAAGATCTGTGAAGGGAAGCTGGTGTCCAAGTTCTCTGATGTCCTGCCCAAGTGAACGGCCACTGCAGCCCTCCAGCCTACACCCTCGAGTGGCTGCCCCAGAGTCTGTGGGGGAGGCAGCTGTGCCAGGGAGCACAGGGAAACAGGAGACCCACCTGAGGCTCAGCCCCAGCCCCCCCAGCCCTCAGCCCACCAGCGAGGGGAGTTTACTGCCTGGGGTACCCCCTCTTACCCATGCCCCCAACTAAAAACCAATTCAATTGCTTTTCCCAAAATAAAGCCTCAGCTGGCTCTGCCAACCAAAAGAAAAAAGAGAGGAATCAAAGTGTATCACTAGCCAAAGAAACCACAATTAGTAAGGGAGGAAGAAAGGATCTACAAAACAACTAGAAAACAATTAACAAATGGCAATAGTTAGTCCTTACCTATCAATAATTATCTTGAATGTAAATGGATTAAGTTTTTCAATGAAAATATACAAAGTGGCTAAATGGATTTAAAAAAAATAAAAGACCCAACTATGTGCTGCCTCTATGAGACTCACTCCAGCTTTATGGACACACATAGACTGGAAAGTGAAGGGATGGAAAATGATATTCCATGAAAATAGAAACCAGAAAAGGGCAGAGGTGGCTAAACTTGTAGCAGGCAAAATAGATCTCACCTCAAAATTGTAAGAAGAACACTATAATGGTAGTGGGTTCAAGTCATTAAGAGGATATAATAATTGTAAATATATATACAACTAAACTGGGGGCACCTAAATATATAAAGCAAATACTAATATATCTGAAGGGAAAAATAGAATGTAATACAATAATAGGGGACTCAATAATGGGTAGATCATGCAGGCAGAAAATCAGTAGGAAACATTGGACTGGAACTATACTTTAGACCAACTAGACCTAATAGACATATACAGAACATTTCATCCTATAGCACCAAAATACACATTTTCTCAAGCACACATGAACCATTCTGCAAGATAGATCATACTTGGTTTAGTGTACCACAAAAGTCTTAACAAATTGAAGAAGATCAAAATCATACCAAGGATCTTCTCTAAACATAATGGTATGAATCTAGAAGTCAATAATAGGAGGAACAAATGTATGGAAATTAAACAAAACACTTCTGAACAACCAATGGATCAAAAAGAAAACAAAAGGGAAATAAAAAAATGCTTTAAAACAAATAAAAATGTAAACACAACATATCAAAACTTATGGGATACAGCAAAGCAGTCCTGAGAGGAACGTTTATAACAATAAACACCAACATTAAAAAAGAAGCAAAATCTTAAGTCAACAACCAAATGTGACACCTCAAGGAAGTAGAAAAAGAAGAACAAAGTTAGCCCAAAGTTAATAGAAGGAAGGAAGTAACAAAAATCAGAGCAAATAAGTACAGACAAGAAAGACAACAAAAAAGATGAAGAGTTGGATTTTTTTTTAAAGATAAACACAACAAACTATTAAGTAGACAAAAAAAAGAAGGAGACAACTCAAATAAATCTGAAATGAAAGAGGAGACATTATAACTGATGCCACAGAAATGCAATGGATCATAAGAGACTAAGAGCAATTTTATGCCAACAAGCTGGATAACATAGAAGAAATTGATACATTCCTAAAAATATACATCCTACTAAGACTGATACATTAATTGGCTTTAAGTCACATTCCACATAGTGTATATGTGCCTAAACTTCACATTGTACCCCATACATATATACAACTATGACTTGCCAATTAAAAATAATATGAATAAAACCATAATTAATAAAATAAAATGCAGGAAGCATGGCTTGACTGCCCTAATAGTTGCTTCTTTCTCTGCCTCAGCTGTTCTCTGTATTCATGGGCACCACCTTGGTTTTTTTGTAGCAGCTCTTTTGGGCCAGCAGGAATCAGCACAATCTCAGCATGAAGTTGACAAACCTCCTTGTGAGCCCCTGCCAGCCTTGGCCGTCTTCAGAGGGAGAGGTTGAGGTCCTCCCATCTGGCTGCGCAGCCTGGAGGATTTTCCTGGTCTCCTCCTGTGTCCTGTTCCCTATGGCCTCATCTGCAGACAGCTCTGTGTATGGCCTCAGTGTCTCCTGCCCAGAATTTATCCAGTTGTCACTCATAATCTGGAAGAGAGTGGGCCTCTACTTGGGGTTAAGGGTCAGGAACTTTTGAGAAAAAGTTTGAGTTCATCTGAAAAGAAAAGAGGTATCATATACAACCTGACTTCCAAGGTCCCTGAAACCCTATTCATCAAATGGAAGAGTCCCAGCTGTCATGATGTAGAGGACAACACTGGGGCTCCACACATCCACCTCCAGCCCATTATACTCCTGGTGCAGGAATATTTCTGGGGAAGCATACAAGAGAGTCCCACAGAAGGTATCCCGCTTTTTCCCTTCACCAAATGTCATGACCAAGCCAAAGTCAGCTATTTTCACATTATCATTGGCATTGAGTAGGATGTTGTGGGGCTCCAGGTGCTGGTGGATGATCTTATGTTGGCAGTACTGTATGGCAGAAAGGATCTGTTGGCATTTGGCCTGGGCCATCTCCTCCTCCAAGTGGCCATGTCAGAGTATATACTCAACAAGGTTTCTGCCACTCATGTATTCTGTTACTAAGTAAATGGTGTCTTTACTGTCTATGACATCCAACAGCTTTAGGATGTTTGGATGATTCAGGGTCTTCATTGCTTCAACCTCCTTATAGACACTTTGAAGCCTGGAAAGTCTCTGCTTCAAGATAATTTTGATGGCCACCTGGGTCCCAGCAGGAAGGTGCTGGGCCAGTATCACTTTGGTGAAGCTGCCCCAGCTAATGGTCTTGAGGACCTTACAGTTGTTAAGCTCTTCAAGGGAGAAACTGGAGGCCAAGACCTGCTGCATGGTCATAGAGTTAGCTCTATGCTAACTCTGCACTACCTACCTATACAAACTATGCTAAGTAACTACTAAACAATACTAATTATACTAACTAGGCTAAGAATACTAACAATACTAAGTATTCTGATAACACTAACAATACTAACTATATGAACTAGGCTAACAATACTAATAAATAATACTAACTGTGCTACCACTACTAACAAACAATACTAACTATACTGTGCTAATGCTACTAACAAACTACACTGACTATACTAACTACACTAACAATGCTAATTAACAAGGAAAAAACAATCTCACTCTCACTATGGTCAAATTCTATAGGTCACCAGAAATCAGCTTTCTGGGCTATAAGGACCGAAGACCTAGGACCAGCCAGAAGTTTATATAGGTTTTAGTAATTCAATAGCAGTGGCTCTTTATGAGGTAAAAGCAAAAAAATGGGACAATCAGGGCTGGGGATAACCCACAGTGGCTTTTTCCTTTTTTGGTTGTAAGGACATTTTCCTCTCTAAAGAAAGAAAGTGTTTTTTTATTTATATGGTTATAGAGATTAATATTTAATTTATTAGAAATTTAAACCTGTACAATGCTTCAGGGCCCTTTGTATTTATAGTTTGAAAATCTGTCATAACTTTAGACTTTTAAAGGCCCCATCATGTCTATACTTGAAATATCCAATTTCTTTTTCTTTAAATTCTGATTGGTGTCAGAGTGATGCTACTCCGTAGCTGACATCATGATACTAACAAAATGTACTCTGTGGTGTGTGATACAAAATAAGGTCCATTATTAACATCTATAGAACTTCTAGGAAGATAAATGTCATCATAATTTCCCCACATGATCATCATCATATTTGTCATCAAAAAAATGTGGAGGCCAGAAGTCAGTGGGTTGAAATACTCAAAGTCATGGAAGGAAAAAAAAAGTCTGTCAACCAAGAAATCTATATCCAACAAACTGTGCTTCACAAATGAGGGAGAAATTAAGACATTGCCAGATAACCAAAAGCTGAGTACCACCTCCCTGTCTGCAATGAAGGGAGTCATTCCAGTTGAAAAGAAAGGACACTAGACAGAAACTCAAATCTTTATGAAGAAATAAAGACTTTTGGTAAAGGTAAATACATAGACCATTATAAAAGCTAGTACTACTTTTGTTTTGTACATGAGGCAGGAGGATCACTTGAACCCAGGAGTTGGAGGTTGCTCTGAGCTAGGCTGATGCCATGGCACTCTAGCTTGGATGACAGAGTGAGACTCTGTCTCAAAAAAAAAAAAAAAATTAAAAGTTCTGTGTATCAAAGGACCCAGCATAGTCAAAGGTAACCTATGGAATGGGAGAAAATACCTGCAAATCATATACCTGATAAGGGATTCACATCTAGAATATATAAAGAACTCCTACATGTTGACAACAATAAAACAAATAACCCAATTAAACAATGGGCAAAGGACTTGCATAGATATCTCTCCAAAGGTGATATACAAATGACCAACACGCTCATGAAAAGATGCTCAGCATCATTAATCATCAGAGTAAGGCAAGTCAAAACCATGATGAAAAACCACTTTCCGGCCGGGTGCGGTGGCTCATGCCTGTAATCCTAGCTCTCTGGGAGGCTGAGCGGTGGATCGTTATGTTCAGTAAGTTCGAAACCAACCTGAGTAAGAGCGAGACCCTGGTCTCTATTATAAATGAGAAGAAATTAATTGGCAACTAATATACATAGAAAAACTAGCCAGGATGGTGACACATGCTGTAGTCCCAGCTACTCGGAGGCTGAGAAGAAGGATGCTGAGTTCCAGGAGTTTGAGGTGCCTGTGAGCTAGGCTGATGCCACGGCACTCCACTCTAGCCTGGGCAACAAAGTGAGACTTCTGTCTCAAAAAAAAAAAAAAAAAAGAAAAGAAAAACTGTTCCACCCTTAGGATGCTGCTTCCAAACAACACAGAAAACAGTAAGGTGTGGGTGAAATGTGAGAAATTGTGAACTCTAGTGCACTGGTGGAGGGAATGTTCAATGATGTCACCACTGTTGAGAATAGCATCGTGGTTCCTCAAAAACTTAAACAGAATTACCATGTGATCCAGCAATCCCACACCTGGGTATATACCAAGGTGTTGAAAGCACAATCTCAAAGAGGTGTTTGTTCATCCACAGTCATAGCAGTGTTATTCACAATGGCCGAAAGGTGGAAGGAACCCAAGTGTTCACCAGTGATGAATGGATACACCAGATGTGGTCTATCCACACAGTGAACTGTTATTCAGCCTAAAAAATGAAGGAGATTCTGTCGCATGCTACCACATGGAAGAACCTAGAAGACATTGTGCCGAGTGAATAAGCCAGTCACAAAGGTACATACTATCAAATTCCACTTAAACGAGGTACCCAGAGTAGTCAAACTCACAGAGACAGGAAGTAGAAGGGTGGTTGCCAGGGGGCACGGGAATTAGGGAGTTAATGCTTATTTGGTACAGAGTTTCAGTTTATGGGATGAGTTG